TAAAGGTCTGTTGTTCCATATCTAAGCATGTCGTACAGAATCAATGAGGCTAAAGAATTCTTGCACTTTCTTTGTTTCGCAATGATAAACTAATTAGCGAGAACATGGAGACAAAATTTGAGAAGAATCCAAAGTGTGTAGGATGTCGACCATTTACATACTTCAAAGGACATGCATTGTAGTGTTTCACTAAGCTATCACCTATGCGGATATATCTAAGAGAAGCTAAAGAGATTGCTACTTACTAGCTTTGTAAGCAATGTAATACGAAGGAGTAAAAAGGAATCCATGCACGCAATACATTTCATATTGGAATTAACGTTTATAGTAACAATCTCTATTTTATTTTTCTTCTCTTTTATTCAAACATATAAAATTTATATATAATAATTTTACACACACATATATATCAAGTAAAATTAGTATGGTAAATTTTTATTTTAGTCTTTTAACTCTTAAAAATATTTTAAATATATCATTTCTTGTTAAAATGTTAACTTTACTAAAAAAATTTATTTTTTTTATATCGAAATATCAATCTATTATGTTCCTTTACATTTAACGTTAAATAGAACAAATACAATAACTATTATAGCTCTAATATATCTTTGTCTTACTTCAAAACTATCTTCAAGTTTTTAATCTATATCTCTTTTCCTTCTTTTTTTTTTTTTTGCCAACGATATTAACTTGCTCAACTTTTCTGATTTTTGAACTTTTTTGAACTACCTTCAAGATCTTTGTTGCTGCTTGTTGCACCTCTTTTAAAAAGCCTCATTGCAAGTCAACAACAATAACTTAAAGTGTTTTTTACTAAAAATTTCTATGCAAAGCATTAAATTTTACCTAAAATAAGAAAATCTTAAAACTTTCTAATAAAAATAAATTTAACAAATATACTGAAGAATATCAAGTAATAAAATAAAAGTATAAGTATTGAACTAAATTATTAACTCACAAAATTATCACAGTTTAGACTCAATTTTAAAGTGCACATAATGATTGAAACAAGAACAAAGTAATATGAAATAATAAAATTTAAGAACTTAAGAAATTTAGGGTGAAATCATATCAAATCTCACTTGAAGGAATTAATTCTCTCAACCATAATTTTAACCTCGAATTAAAGATTAAATTCACTAAAATAGGTTGATAATTTCAATTCATTGACAATTAATTCATTTTTTCCATAATTAAAAATTTTAATTTCTTAGATTTTTAAAATAAAAAAATTAAGTTTAAAATCATATCTCTATCTATAGGATATCAATAAACAATGGTGAATTCTCAAAATCCAATCAATTAACAAAATTTTTTAAATATGGAAGTGAATTTAACGTCAATCTATAGATAGATGATCTATCTATAAAAATACTAAGGATTAAAAAAATACTTAATTGTAAAAAAATTTTTTGAATCAAGATATAAAATTTAACCGAAAAAAATTCAAATTGAAATTCATCGTCACCTAACCTAAAGAACTAATTTCACATAATAAAAGAAAATATATAAAAAGAAGGAGAAGAGAAAATAAAAAAAATTCATTAAAATTTGATATATCTATAACTTGATTCCTAAAAATTGAATATTCACTTGATCTAATTTTGTAAGTAAAAATCTAAAACTAAAATTAAAATTCAATTGAAAAAGTGTTGCTTCACATTATTTTTAACATTGAAGAAATCTCCAATTTGATTTTTCTTCCCTTTTATTCAAACATATATAATATAATAAAATTTATATATAATAAACATTATTTTATATATTAAAACACTCACCCAATAAATATATATATATATATATATATATATATATTACAAGTAAAATTAGTGTGATAATTTTTATTTCATCATCTTTTTTTTTTATCTTCTAACTTTTAAAAATATTATTTTATGTTAAAAAGTTTAATTCTACAAAGAAATTTTATCTTTTTCTTATATTGGATAATCTACTATCTTTATGCATAAAGATAATTAATTCAATTTTTGTGGTTAGATTCTTTTATAAATTTCTAACTATATTTTTCATATGATCTTTTATCTCTTTCTTTTTCCAGCTCAAGTTGTTATGGAAGAAGGAACTGAAAAAAAAAGTGTATTAGCAACAATTGGATTTATTATAAGATAGTTTATGATGTTCACATTGATCTATTACATATCCTTACATTTAGCATTAAATATACCTCATACAATAACTATTATAGCTTTATCATATATTCTTCCTCTTCATAATCATCCTCAGGTCTTCAATCTATATCTCCTTTCCTTTCTTCTTCCTCATCAATGGTCTTCCTTCTTCATTTAGTTAACTTGCTCAAAATTTTTGATTTTAAACTTTCTTGAACTACTTATGAAATCTTAATTGTCACTTGTTGTACCTTTTTTAGAAAGGATCATTGCAAAGCAATGATCATAATATTGTGTATGTTTAAGTGAGAGACATAATCTCCCACTGTATGAGGTTTAAGGAAAAAGAAGAGAAAAACAAAAGACAAGAAGAGGAATATTAAAGAGAGAAGGAAAAGGTGGAAGAGATGTGATGATAAACAATCTATTTATAGTTGATAGAAAATGATAAAATTTTATTGAATTTAATATTTTAATAAAAAAGAATCTATTTGAAACACTTTTTAAAATTGGAGGACTAAAATAAATTTAAAAAAGTTTAAAAAATAAAAATAAAATTTATCTTTAAGATAGAATAAAAAATACTAATTTTTCTTATATTATATTTATATTTTTTTCTATATATTTTATTATTTTATGAAAATTTTGAAGTAATGCAACCATAAAAAATAAATATGTTATGATTATAGTATATGTTGCTTAGACAAATCAAGATCTCATGATAACATTGTCTTACCACATAATTTAAAAAAAAAATTGAACTCATGTAAAACAATGATTTTTTCATGTATTGATAAACATATCTTTTAAAAATCAGTGATTAATTATTTATTATTATAGTCATAAAATAATTTGATCAAAACTGATTGTAATAAATTAATTTTGAATTGTTTAATATAATCGAAATATAAATATAAGTTAACTTGAATCATAAATTTTTGTTGAGCAAATTTTCCACTTGAACAATTTTTAGTGTCAAAATCCATAAATTTAATATCCAAAAATCCCTAATTAATTAAATTGGTCCACAAAAATTTTTAATCAATCAATTTTGTCTTTTAAAAATTCTTAATTTCTTCTTGTTTTCTTTTTATTCTCCTCTTCTTCCTCGTTATTTATTTTCCATTACTTCTTTCTCTCAAAAGCTTGAAACTCATACGTTTTTACCACAAAGAGACAGCATTTTGGAACCACTTACCACCACTAAATACTACGAGGCACCTGAAATTCTCCATCATCAGATTTACTATATAACTCAGCCACCAAATTTGTTGCTCCACCATCAATTCCTTACCCCCAATGCTACCTAGCCACCACACTTTTACTACTATTCATTATGTTGTTGTTACAAACCTATAAGCCACCACAAGTCAAGCCTCCAAATATTATCATGTCATCACTTCTCAATGCAATCATCCTTGATTACCATGCCAAATTGTTCACTTTCCTGTTAGACCTTGCAAACAAATCCCATCAAACACAACAAATAGAAGAGGAGGAGAATATTTTTCTTTAAGGATATAGGATTAAATTGATTGATTGGAGTTTTATTGAGGTTTATAGAAATTAAATTAATTATACCCTTTGGGAGATCAAATTGATTGATTAAGAGCTTTTTTGGTGATAAAATTGATTGATCATAAATTTTCAGAAATCACTTAACATATTTAAGATTAAAGATTATTTGAAGATCAAACTAAATGATTTGGAGAAAAATTTTGAACTCCTAACATCTCACACAATCACTTATCATTAAATGTGTGTATCACATCTATGTAACACTTCCAAATCAGCCAATTCATTATGGTAAATAACATTTAAGTTTTGTTTGGATGAACGGTTAAATAGAGTGGGAAAAAATAGAAGAGTAAAAAATAAAGTTAAAATAATGAAAAAAAATTATATTTTGGATAAATTGAAATAAGAAAGAGACATCCAAATCCTTCCATGTAACTTTGTTGAACAACCTACTATATCAGCGCTAGCATTAGTCTCTTGGGAGAAAATGTATATATTTATTATTCTAAAACGTATGCATTTATTACTCGAAGTAATTATTAAATAAAATTTGTGTATTTATTATTTTAAAAACATAAAAAATATTTAATAATAATTATTTAATAAACATTATTTATTACTCGAAGTAATTATTAAATAAAATTTGTGTATTTATTATTTTAAAAACATAAAAAATAATATTTAATAATTAAGAGAATTTATAAAAAATTAAAAATTTTATAATTATTATTTATTTAATGAGTAAATTCCAAATTTAGCTGCGTGAACGTTAATTTTAGAAGAAAAAAAATTCAAATACTCCTTCTCTTCTTTTTTATCTGCCACATTTTTAGAGTTTTTTTAATCTATTTGTTACTTTTAAAACATTTAAGACAACATTAATTAACAAAAAAATTCAATATAATTAACAAATTTTTTTAATATATACTTACAAACATACAATAAAAATTTATTAATTTAATATATTATTAATAATAAATAATATTTTCAATAGAATTTTATTATTTAATAATGCTTTATTATCAACTTATATATATATATTGTAAATACTATTATAATAGATTTTTAATTAAATAATTATTTTTAATTGACTTTAATAATATCTATACTGTATACTGAAGAAATACTAGTATATCTTTGAACACCAATTGAAAAAAAATTGTAAAAAAAAAAACGCGTTAAAAAAAATAAATTTGAAAAAGTTACAGCAAAACTTTTGTATTCTGAAAAAGAAAAAAGAGGTAAGGATTCTTCTTGAAATTTACTCTTTACCGACCCAACTCATATCCAAATTTGGTAACCGAGATTGTAAATAGATACCTGTTGTCACCCACAGCTCAATTCAGTGAATTTACCATAACTATACAGACAGAGAAGAGGCGTAAAGTTAGTAAATTTGAAGGCGTTTCAACGTTGAAACTGCCAAACTGGCACTGACGTGAAGGTTTTCAAAGAGAGAGAAACAAACGCCATAGCAGGGAACGGGTGAGTCCTCCTAACAGCTAAGGATGTTTTATTTTTATTAATTATTCTTGTTTCTATTCATTTAATTTTAACCAGTAATTAATATTTTCTCATTTTTTCACACTCAGTGTGGCTGTTACCAATCGAGCTCTGAAGAGAGTCCTCAGGGAAGAGTCTAGAAGGTCTTGTATTCTACTTGTACAAGGCCAGACAACGTAGCTACACACCGAGTCACATCGCAAAAGGATTGAGAGAGAGAGAGAGAGAGAGAGAGAGAGAGAGAGAGAGAGAGATGGGTAGACCAAGGTGCTTCTTGGACATTTGCATAGGTGAAGAGCTTGAAGGAAGGATTGTGGTGGAGCTTTACGATGATGTTGCTCCCAAAACCGCTGAGAATTTCAGAGCTCTTTGCACTGGTGAGAAAGGCATTGGTCCAAATACTGGGGTGCCCCTCCATTTCAAGGTTTTCTCTTTCTACCTTTAACCTCTCACTTTATGCCCATACCCACCTTATATTTCTATTCAATTCTAGCTTTTTAGCTCTGAAAGATTGTTTTTTTTGGGCTTTTGATTGTGGAATGATTGTTGCCCATATTCGTCAATTCTGAGTCACATGGGATTTGAATGAGAGGATTGTTATTTTTATGCATTCAAAATGGTGTTTGGATTCGGAGCTTTGATTATCGTTCTCTTTCATTATCGCTTTTGGCTGCTCTAAGATCTGGACTTTGTTGTAGTAATCCAATGGTTGAACTTGAATTTGAAAACTCGGTGCTTTAATGCTTTTCATTTTCTCTCTTTTGAACGATCAGTTCTGAAAGGACGGGTATGCCCTTTATTCTTTTAGATTGGAGATACCTTTTAGCAGTCATTCAAATTTATACTCTTATTCTGGGGAAAGGATTCTTTAACATGTATTGTGTTAAGGGTGGGCGACACAGTTTATTCAATCTAAAGCTTTTTCCTTTTTCCTTTTTCCTTTTCCCTTTTTTTTTTCTTTTGCGGGAGTGAGAGGGGTTTGTGAAATTGCGTATATTGTGTCCATTTGATAATATCCTCAACTGAAATAATAAACGAAATTGCTAGTAAAATATCCCAGAGATATGCCAACCTTCTGGTTTTTTAGATTTTGGTTTATAAAATAATATAATATAATAACTATCTTTTAATTTAATCCCAGCAATACGGAAGGGAAAGGAAAAAAAATGATAACAAATATGATATAATAGTTTATATTCTAGTAATTCGTGCCATACCATAAGGTGCCATTGGCCTTGAAGTATAACATTTGTTCTTTGATTTCTTGATTAAAACTTCAATATAGAGTTCATTATCCTTCTGGTGTCTATTCTTAGTGCATTTTACAAGAATTTCCTTTAAAACATGCTTAAATTGGAGAGAATTGTACTCAAGCATCTATTGCCTAGTTGGCTTTGTTGTGCTAGGCAGGTCTGAATCTGTTGACTTTGGTACTGAAAATGGTTCAGCGTAACATTAAATGATTGAAAATTCTCATAGGGGCAGTGTGCTTCCTGAATTATGCTTCATAATAATAAATATTAGGAATTTATGATATGGTGATAAATAGTAGTCGTCTCTTTACATATATGTGAGGAAAATTGGTTGAGGCAGTATAAGATGTAAATCTTGCGTATTAGCAGTACAAAACAATTCCTCTTGTTATTACTTCAATGATTTCTTGCAATAGAGGGATTAGACAGACAAACTTTTCATGGTATAAATACCAACTTAACTGTCTCCTAAAACATGTCTGCAATATTAGTTCAAAGGTCAACTGTGGAATTCACTTGTATTTTCAGGGTTCTTGCTTTCATCGTGTTATTAAAGGCTTTATGATTCAAGGAGGTGACATATCTGCTGGAGATGGTACTGGAGGAGAATCTATATACGGACTTAAGTTTGCAGATGAAAATTTTGAGTTGAAGCATGAAAGGAAAGGGATGTTATCAATGGCAAACTCTGGTCCTAATACTAACAGGTCTCAGTTTTTTATCACGACTACCCGAACTTCTCATTTAGATGGTAAGCATGTTGTATTTGGGAAAGTAGTCAAAGGAATGGGAGTGGTTCGTTCAATTGAGCATGTTGTGACTGGAGATGATGATCGTCCCAGCCTGGATGTTAAAATTGTGGACTGTGGAGATATTCCTGAAGGAAAAGATGATGGGATATCTAACTTTTTCAAAGATGGTGATACTTATCCTGATTGGCCAGCTGACCTTGATGCAAGCCCAAACGAACTTGAGTGGTGGATGAAATCTGTTGACTCAATTAAAGCTTTTGGCAATGAGTATTACAAGGTATTGATGCTTTCCCTTGGTCCATCTCAGATTATATTTTGATGTATTATTTTGAGAAATGAATGGAATATTTTTGTTATTTTTGTTCTGCTTGTTAATAGTTGTTCAATTTTTATTATTGCAGTAGTCACCCCCCCCTTCCTCTGTGATTCTTTGTAGCAAGAAACTAATTTAATGTTTTCTGACAGAAACAAGACTACAAAATGGCTCTAAGAAAGTATCGGAAGGCCTTACGCTACCTGGATATTTGTTGGGAGAAAGAAGGCATTGATGAAGGTGTGCTGCCTTTTGTTACCATTTATTTCACTTAATTGTGCAATGTGCAGTGATTATACTACAAATGCACTTCACCTCCCTTGCTCATGATGTATTGTTATATTTATGCCTTTGCAGAGAAAAGTTCTGGTTTGAGAAAAACAAAATCTCAGATTTTTACAAACAGCTCTGTAAGTTGGAATGAAGTTATGACCTTTATAATATAGTATAATATTTTTTTGAGTCCTGTTGCCAATCTCATTATTTACTGATTTTTTTATTTACTACCTAATTGTTTATGTTATGTCATTATTTCTAGGCTTGTAAATTGAAATTAGGGGATCTTAAAGGAGCATTATTAGATACAGAATTTGCAATGCGTGATGGAGACAACAATGCTAAAGCTTTGTTTCGCCAAGGACAGGTTGGTATTGAATTGAAGAGCTTTCTGTCACAAATTACGAGTTTTTGTTACCCTTTATTGTGTCAGGATTTTTATTGTGGGTATTTAATGCATCCTGCTTTTTACTCCGGTAATTATGTTCCTTCCCGTTTACCAGGCATATATGGCACTCCACGACATTGATGCAGCAGTTGAAAGCTTTAAGAAGGCACTGAACTTGGAGCCAAATGATGGTTAGTTATGAACGTACAATTTTGGATCAGGGCTTTGTCATGTTCTTTTCTGTGCTCTAATTCCTGGGATATACATTTGAATATCTGATTTATTTTATTCAGGTTTTTGATGTATTTGATAGTTCATTTTCATATATATTATGTAAAAGATGGGTTAACCTTTTTAACGATACAAGCTCTAAATTAATATCGGGATGATGTAATCCAAGAGGAGAGAGGGAATATAGAGGGAAAAAATTTGAAGATAAAATGAACTCAAGGGTTATTTTGCCAAAAACTGATAACAACACATTGGTATATGGCCATGTTCACTAAACCTTGTAATATAATCGTGCAACTTCACGAAAGCTTACTTGTCATATTGCTATTTCCAGCTGGAATTAAAAAGGAACTTGCTGTTGCCAGGAAGAAGGTGAGTATATCCATCTAAATTGAGCAAGGATTGAAGCATTATATACTTGTGCGAATCTAACTTTATTATGTCTGTTGCAGATAGCTGATAGGCGTGATAGAGAGAAAAAAGCATATAGCAAGATGTTCCAATAACACCCTGGTATGTCACAATCTCTCAGCTACTGGTACATAGATAAGACAGTGAAGATATATATGTCTAGGCACATGAATTACCATGAAAACAACCACATTTGCGTGCCCACCATCTTTCTATTTTTCAGTTATGTTGATGCATCATGGTAGATATATTGATTTGCATTATTGAATCATTTAGTTCAAATGGGCTATTAAACTCAACTCCTTTCTTGACATGTATGCAACTAATCTTGTTTTTCAGGCTTCTGTAACAACCAGATCGTCACAGCATATACACAAGATTGAAGTTTCAGGCTTGAGCCCATTGTTACTAAAAGTATTAGGAATGAGGCTCAGATGAAATAAGTGGATAATGAATGGTATTGTTACATGATTAAATTTTTAGCCAACAATTTTGTCAACCTTTTTTTGACCATGAACTTTGATCATTTTATTGGGTGGTGATGGACCACAGACATACTCTTATGTGATTTTGATATTTACTATTGGGAACTTGTGTTCAAGGTGTAATGTAGAGCATTTATTGGTCAGGCCATTTACTGTGGTCTTCAGTTTTAGACTGAATAACCACTTAGTGTGTGTTATATAGTCTTGAGTTGTGGTTAATGTGCTAGGTTTGGTTATTTTTAATTTCTTTGTTCTTCGTTTTGTTTCGCCGTCTATGCAAGTAATGGAGTTACGGTCATGGATATGGAAACAACGTCTAAACCCTAAATCCACATCCATTGGCACCTCTACCACAACTTCACTCAATTTAACTTGCCTTTTCAAAATGCTTAAGCTTTGTTTTATCTTAATTATGAGCCTGTTGGTTTGAGATTAATTCATGAGAAACTATTTTCATTTTTCTGAAAAGTTTTATATCTCAGCTTTTTTCTATAAACTTTAAATAATCAGAATATGAAAAAAAATAAATTAGATTTTGAACTATTTTTAGAATTTATTTTAAATATTACCTTTGGTTTTAATAAAAATATCTATGTTATTTTGGAAATATTTTTAGTATTAAATAATTGAACGGATTGTTTATATATTATATAAATAAATAAGAGTATATAAAAAAATAACAGTTAATTTATCTAAAAATAAATCTATATTTCTTATAATTAGGACTAAAAGAATACTCTACATTTTTTTTTATAATTAGGACTGGATAGAATAATTTTTTCAAAAAAGCTAAATATAACTCTTTTTTAAAATAAAAAATATTTATTTTATGATTATAAATAAATAAATATAATATCTGTTATACATAAAACTTTAAAGCATAAATTATTTTTTTATATTTTTAAAATCAATTTCTTTTAACAATTTAAAGAAATGAGTCTTTTATATATATATCATTTTTAGTATAAAGATGCTTTGCAGTTATCACTCTTATTATTCCTTTTTTTTTTTTTTTTATCACGGCCACCAGTAAGTGTCAAATATTTTATTTGCTGTTGATAATGGGATTTTAAACATTGAAGAAAGATTGGTTTACATTAGTCAAATTCACTTTTAGAATATTAAATAGTTTTTTACTGAGTGATTTTGTCACAGTTTATTGACATTAAAAGTTTTTATCATATAGATTACATTTATTAAATTTTACTTTATTTCAAAATTATTTAGTTGTATGTTGATATATATTGAGATTAAATTAATATTTATTTTAAAAATATATGAAACTAGTAATTATTTTATTATATTTTTATTATTGCTTAATTTTTATAAGACTTAATATAAATAATCAAAATAATGAATAATTATAATCCAACCAACAATTGGAGTAATAATCATTATTTATATAAAGTTATTGGAGCAACGTTAAAGAATGAAAAATAATTTCTAAAATATGCAAATATTAAATATTTTTAAAAACAAAACTTTTGATACCATTTAGTACTTTAAGTATTAAGATGAATAATGAATTTTTTTATTTTTATTTTTTTGCTGTTGAATGATTGTTGTTTTTAATCCTTAGTATGAGTTTAAGTACATAGATTTACAAATCCCATTAATATTTCACAATTTACCTAAAACACTATTAAAAGATGACATAGCAACACCTTTGTTCTTATTTTTCTAATTTGTAAACTATAAATGGTACAAAATTTGATGCTGCTGCTTCAACGGTTGTTGTTAAGTGTCCTTATTCCTAAAGCTCTGGCTTTCCAAACACGAACGTTGTTGTTGTTATTGTAGTTTTACATACTTATAATTATATATTTCCTGTACATGATTAGGTATTATTCTAAGATAATATTATATTATATATTTTAAGAAAATTAATACTAACATCATTTTGGAATGCTGATTAAGAAATTAAAATTATTAAAAAAAGTTATTGAGATTCATGGCGATCCATGATTAAAAGAGGTTGTTTGGAGAGTCACCGCATTGTCACAAAATCTGAGTTGGGACTGCAGGGTCATTCATACTCTTCGGGAGGGTAACATGGTTGCAGATTCGATTGTAAATTTTTCTCATTCTCTGCTTCTACATGTTCATGTTTTAGACCGTCCTCGTACTTAGTCTAGTCATTTTCCTCTCGTCAAGTTGCTGTGCAGTGGGGTCTCTGCATGCCCTTCCATTTACCCAAAAACCAGTGAAATATGCTGTTACTATTCCTTTTCTCTTCAACAACTTTTACAAACAACGAGTGAGAATCAGGCCAAAAAATAAAGGAAATGGAAGATGTTATGAATGATGTGATAAACAGAGATAAAAGAAATATGTTTTGTATGACTTAATTAGTTGTATGAATAATACATCGATCAAAAGAAAAAGTCAACAATGAGGAAAACACCAGTGTGTAAAATTTCTCTCTTTTAAAATAACATTAACGTTAACCGGTTAATTTTGGGTATTGGTTTAAAAAATAAAACAAATATTTATATTAAAAATATTATTAATATAATCTTATGACTGTGTTTAATATACTTCAATGTTAGTTTTTATATAAATTTCTTTTTATTGTTTCTTTAATACCATTAAACATTGATTAACTTCTCATAATGCAACTTCATGTTTCCAAACGTACTCATATAACATTTTTTCAAACCAATTAGCATTGTCCGTGGAAATAAATCTTTTTCGGGTTCATTCTCAATCTTTTACAGAGAATTTGGATACCAAATAAGCCAATGTTAAACAGAGAGTTGCGATATCTCCACATAAAGGGGATGTGAAATGAAGTGAGAAAGACAAAAATAGAAAAATAGAAATAAAATAAAAAAATAGTAGAAAGAGACGATAAGAAATATAATAAGCAATGTGATGAAAAGAAGAAAAAAAATAGAAGAGAATAAGAGAAAATGAGACGTAAAAGAATTAGACTATGAAAACATTATTAGTGTTAAGAAAAGATGATGAATCTGCATGGTCAACGTTGGATGTTGTTTGTGTCTGTGTTAAATTAAAAACAATACTAACGTCAAAAACTATCAGAAGCATTAGTCGTTGTATTGTTTGACAATGCACTGTATCACACATAAACATATACATAAAATTTGCGATTTCTTTGGATTGCACATTACAAGGTTTCTTGATCTTAACGGATAGTAAGTTTTTTATTTTTGCTGCATTGCTATTCGCTGTGCTGCTGGAAATCTCTGCGGGGATATATTGAATAACAATATCACTAACAAAATCAAAGGCAGACATTGCTACATGGTATAGCAAACCTTGGAGTCCGAAAAGGAATAAATGATATATTAGTCCTGATAACTTATTTTCATTTGACTTTTTTTTAATTTTAATTACTGAACTTATAAAACGTTCAACAAGATTATTGTAGTTAACTTATCATAATATTAACTTTTAACAAGAAAAAAAAATGTTATTAAGATAGAGTTATCTAACAGCACCGCACGCCACCAAGGCGTCATCATCACATCACTCCAAAGGCCATTCGTATCTCATTTACACAAAGTATATGAATTCGTAGGCCAAATTTCCGTCCCACTAGACTCGGTTAAATCTGCAATAATAATAAGAAACACTGTCTTTGACCTCATCAAACCTCATAACAACACGATCATATTTGACCTTTTCCCTGCATAAGCTTTGGAAGAATTTGTGCTTTTGTGTTACATACGTCTACCCCAGCACCAACCCATTCTCTCTCTATTTCACCAAATCAAAGCCAATAAATAAACAGCGAGTCGTAATAAATTTGTTTAAACAAAGAAATATAACACAAGGAAACTTCGTTGAGTGCTTTGACTTAATTTCAACTGCTGATCAATTTCAAACAATTTTTTTCCCTTCTGCTTAAATTAATCTCTGTTATTCATGTTATGATCTATAATGATATTACTACAATTTATTTTATTAAACCATGGCTCTTTAATATATACCTCCATGAAATTTCCTTTTGTGTAAAAACACAAATGAAATGCCGTTTTTCTTTAGTTAACTCCTGATCATGATCATTCTGGATCCATCTACCCTATTGCAAGAAAATGAATTCATGTTTTAAATAAAAAAGTAAAAGCTGGGCTCCTACATTTTGGGGGTAAATGCTAAAATAAAAAGGCTCAACCTCTAATTAAATTCCAAATAAAACTGAGTTGACGGGACTTATATCTAAATAAATATTCTTGCCTTTTTCTTCTTTTGTATGGCAATAGACTCCAATTATATATCGAAGAGCTAAACTCACGATTAGTTTTAGAAAATTTCTTCTGTAAATGCAGGAATCGAAACAAATCATATGAAAATTAAAAATCAAACTCATCACGATGAATTCTGGGATATACAATTATGATTCCCATCCCAAATTTGACAAAATAGATAATTTCTTAACATAATGCAGTTTATTAATTTCAGAAGCTCAAAAAAACACGTTCACAAATTCCAATTAATGAATCGAGGCAAGGCACGTGAGATGTGAACGAGATCAAATATCGTGGAAGAAATTGATGGCAGGAAAAGTGGAAAAAAATGCTACACTAGAGATTCCACCACACGCATATCCAACGAATCAAAAGTTAATTTGGTCATTCTGCACCACTACATATATTTCATGCTTAACGCTTACCCTTCACTCACCTCATAATCCTATATATATAATGCCCTTAAACTCCAACCAACAACACCAACCAAATCACACTCAACACACACCTTTGCTAAAGCTTAGAGAGCAGGACTATACCATGGCCACCAAGTTTGCTCAGAGCCTCACCTTACTAGTTATAATCGCTTCAATGTTTGCAGAGAGCATGGCCAACAAGGATTCGTCCTTTGGTTTTAACTACACTGATTGGTGGTCCAGATTCGGGAACCATAACCACAACAAGACACAGCTAGAACCAAGGAAGATCATAGTGGGTGGGTCTGAACATTGGCATTTTGGCTATAACTACACCGATTGGGCTTTCAAAAATGGCCCCTTTTACCTCAACGACACTCTAGGTAAGATAAGATTGACGTTTAATTATTGTTCAAGTAAGTTTAATTGATTTTTACACAACAAGGAATTAATAAAAAATATTTTTGATTAAAAACTATAACATTTAATATTAGCAATATATTAAATTTTATGATTTTCAATTATTGAAATTTAATTAATTGAAGAATATTCATATATACAATTTGACGTTAATATATATTTGTGGTTTAGTGTTCAAGTATGATGCTCCAAATGCCACTAGTTTTCCACACAGCGTGTACTTGTTTCCAAACTTTTGGAGCTTCATGAATTGTGATGTTAAGAGGGCAAAGATGCTTGCGAATCCCACACAAGGTGGAGGAGAGGGCTTCCATTTCGAGTTAAACAAGTGGCAGCCTTACTACTTTGCATGCGGTGAGAGAAATGGCTTTCATTGCAACAATGGACAGATGAAATTTACTGTTATGCCGATGCTTCGTACCTTCTGGCCATGGCCATGACTAAATTGATCATAATGCATACAAGAACAATGGTTTCCCTTTTTTATTCAATATATAATGTGATGCATCTGAAAAATACTGCATTTTGAAGGGTGATAAATAGATGTTTAGTTGTTTCACTGTTTCTGCATTGTTAATGAATGTCACTTTTTGACATTATATATGTTGAAAAGCTTGTAAGAAGTTTGCGTTTCAGAATTGGTGATTGCTTACCTTATTAGTTTTTTCAGCATTGTTATTTCTTATGAAAATTTATCTAAGTTTATTTTCGGAAAGCAACCTATGAAGGAAAATATCTACCTTTGAAATCTTAAAATTCGATAAAAATTCAAAGTGCTCGGATGAAATAAAGCAAGTAAAACAAGTATGAACTTTGAAAGATTGAAAGCCATGAAACGATCAAAGCAATAAAATAAAAGTAAATATGAAATAAAACATGTAAATGGATGAACGTTAAAAGAAGGTTAAACTTCAATTGAGAGTAAAAGAAATTGGATTGAAAGGCAAAACTAGAATTAAAAGTGCAAAAATAAGAGTATGCACTTGGATTTCAATAAATGTGGTCTTTTGCAGTATTAAAGTATGTTTGTCTACACTTTTAAAAAATATTTTTTTTAATTAAAAAATAACAAACATGCTCTTAGACTTTAATTGCCTTAAATACAAGTTATTTTTCGGTAATTCTTGCTACCTAAATATGAAATAAAATCTATTTAGACAAAGTTTACAACGTTCACTTGTTGTTAGTACGACACATTTAATGATTACTCAACAACTCAAACACTTGACACTTGTATATTGACAATATATTTAATAAATAATTGTTAATATAATCCCATAGCAATTTGATGAAAATTATAAATCTTCTTTTATTATGTTTTAGCAATTCATTTTTCTCTTCTAACTTTTTTTTTATTCATTTTTATTTTTGAAGTATTATTTTTTTTCTTGCGTTAGTCCTTTTTGTTAGTTTTGTTACATAGCCTAACAGAGACATTATACGTGGCGCTGAGTGATTTAACATTATTTATTTAATCATACGTGAAAATTTTTTATTTAAAAAATAATTAAAAAAAATGCTACTCTCCCACTTCTCTTTTGTTAGGGATAAAAATAGGTTAGGCTAAATTAGGCTTTGCATAAATAAGTCTAACATGTTTAATAATTTTAAAGTCTAACTTATTACATGTCATAGACTTTTTATTAAGCCCAGCCTAACCTTTTTAAAAGCATGATTTGACGTTTAAAGGCCTATTTCATATTAAGATATTTAATAAATCATTAAGTTTCCTTGTAAACAGACTATTAAATTATCTAAATAAGTATGTCTTTTTAAAAGTGATAAGGCTTATATCTAAATAAACTATTAAAAAAATAATTTAACACCTTGAACACATATAATAAAATTACATATTTTTATTTATCACTTTTAAAACACGTATTTAATTTAAATGACTAAATCACTACACATACAAAAAATAAAATAAAATAAAATAAATATTAATTTATAAATCATTAAGCAAATCTAGTATCATAAAGTTTTACGTATTAAATCAACAAACACAATATAAATAAATAAGTTTTAGACCTAAAATTAGCAAATGCAACAAATTAAAATATAACGAAAATGATTAAGATTTTTATTTTAATATTTTATTATTTTAAAATTTAATTGATTTAATTATTATTATATAAAATTATTTAATATATTATTATAAATTTTAAATAGGCCATCTTGATGGGCCTAATAGACTTTTTCTTAAGCTTAAGCCTGATGTATTTAATTAATTAGGCTTTTTAAAAAGCCTAAATTAAGCCTATTAATTAAATAGGTTAGGCCGAGTTAGGCTTTAAATAGGTTAGGCCGTAGGCCCTTGTTAGACAGTCTGACCTATTTTCATCCCTATCATTCATCTTCTCGTAGCTCCTCTACCTTTTTTTCCCCCAAATCTCCAACGCACCAGTCTTACCTCTTCCTCTTGCAGTACTCCTTTCCTTTTCTCACAGCTTTTCTTCTCCTTTTTCACAGCTCTGCTACCTTTTCTTCCCAACCTACCAACCTTTTTTCCCCTCTTGCAACTTCTATTTTCCCTTGCAGCTTTTTCTCTCCTTTCTCGCAACTCTGCTATCTCTTCCCTCAAACCCACTAGCCTTGTTTCTCCCTCCCACAGCCTCTATTTTTCCTTCTCGCAAGTGAAGCGTTATTAGCAACACAAATAAACACCAAAATATGGGAGATTCATATTTCACAAAAAATTAAAGAATTATACATAAAAAGTAATGAAATTTAGAGTTTCATGCAAATATGAAATAGTCTAATAAACAATAAAGTGAAAAGTTGCAAGCTTTAAATGCAAAGAGAGAAGGAGCATATTAGATGTATTTTGTAAATCAAATTTATAATTGATAATTAGGCATGGATTGGTACTTTGTTAATTTATTCTGTAAATCAAATGATTAAATAGATGTTTGGAATAAAATTTTGGAGATGATTTTTCGTTGAGTTGGGGAAAGGAGGGAGATAGAGCTGCAAGTGTAAGATAAGCATGTTTCCCAGTATGATGGGTAAACCTTTTTCTATATCTAAAAATGACAATTAGGAGGCTGAACTTGAGAAAATTTTCCAAGTGAAATGACAACTAAGAAACCCAATAAAATTTTATATTATGATATCGAAATTCCTCTATTTAAGACAGTTTTCATCAATGCCAATAAAAAAACTAGAACACAAGCGAGCTTGTTTATGATGTTGGGATTCCTCCATTGAACATTCTCGTCATGAATAGTGTTGACGGTAAAGAAGAGGAGGGAAAGGAGCTGTGAGAAGGAAGAGACAAGGTTGATGAGTTAAGAAAAAGAGATGGAACTGCGGGAAGAGGAAGGAAGGAGGGCTACAGGGAGGGAGAGGAAAGAGAGGCTGTGGAAGGGGAGGAGGACTGCTAGAAAGGAAGAGGGAGCTGTTGGAAGAAGGAGGAGGAGAAGTTACACTTAACGCTACTTCACTATTTTTTAATTATTTTTTAAATTAAAAAATTCAAGTTAGATTAAATAAAAGGCGTTAATGCCATTTCAGCACTACCTAGAATATTTCTATTAGGCCATGTAACAGAGTTAACGAAAAGGACCAACGTGTAAAAAAAATAAAGTTTAAGGATGAAAATGAACAAAAACAAGTTATATGACAAAAATGAATTTTACTCTAAAGTTAAGAGACAAAAAGATAAATTTTACATTAAGTTTTCTTTCAAGAGAATGTCGAGTTTTTGTTAACAAATCAACATAATCTTCTTGAACTGTCCTCAACTAGAATCATTTCTTAATTATTCTTCAAATAAAATTTTCAAGCAAATTCCCTAAATCTTCAATAAACTTTAAGAATTTCTTCAATATGTTTGCTTTCGACCGCTTCACGATTCTTGTTCCTTCAAATAATACATCTTGACTGCATTTAAAATGATTAATGAGATATTGTTACCTTAAAAATATACTTGAGCAAAGCCTTTCATTTATTTTTTATGTATGCAAAGAGATTTCTCAAATATTATTATAATGTATGTTTTCAATTATTATAATGTATGTTTTCAATTAGCCTTCAACTTGAGTGTTTTACTATTTCTTAACTTAAAATTTTCCTTCGCCAACAATATTTTTTAGCAGGAGAATCTAAGTTAGCTTCATCTCGTAAATTTTTTTATGTTTATTTTAAAGTTATAAATTAATTTTCATATTTTCTGATAAAAGTACACATTTAGATATATACCAATCACATTTAACATTTTAAAATTAATTCTATTAATCTTAATTAAATGAACATTAATTAAGAGCAACTCAAGGGTAAGTTGTTCAAAAGTAAGCTACATTACACTTGTATTTTACAACTACATGAAAGAGAGAGAGGGTTGCTTATATGAGAAAGAAGTTACCTTTCTCGTTGTGAAAGACCTACACTTTAACATATAAATGTTATCTGAGAGGTATATAACGTTTTTTTTTTTTTTTTCAATTTCACTAATAAAATTGGCTTAAGATGTTGAGTTAAAAATGCACCACTACATACATACCATTTCTAGTTTTCAAATTAGAAGTATGCGTAGCATACGTATTGTAAGACTTTGATAATAATCACCTTTCCTTGAGTTGATTTTGAAATTGTGTTAAGCTTGAGTTAATTTAATCGGCTATCGTAGCCTATCCATTATCCAAAGTTAGATGTTGGGATCGAGTTACGCTCAAAAATCAAATACCAAACAAATGGAAAGACATATATACCATGTGGCGGGTGCTGGTAGAAATATTGTTGACTTTGCTCGGGGTCAACTTTTTGAGCTTATGAATTTTGATAATTTGAAGACTTAGCCAACCAACTTTTCATTTCAATTTTCGCCTCAACTTCAATGAATCTGGATACTGAGCTTTCCTGGAACATGCTCGTGAAACAGCGTTCGTTGTTGATGATGTATTTAATCGTTACGTTAGAATAGAGAATTATAATTAACACTTTTAATAAATGGATGAGTACTATCTTGCTTTCTCAATTTGGAAATGTCTTACAATTGGAATTGATATTTTATTTTGTGTGACTGAAGAATCTCTATACCAAAGTGATGAATAATATGAAATAAAAGAAGAGATAATAAAATATAAATAATTTGTAATTAAATATATATGTGATAAGAGGGAGATCTAGGGAAGGGAAGTAATTAGTTTCCAAAAAAGTGATAGATCACAGTTTAAATCACTGCTGAGAGAGATGGTGTGACAAAAAATGAAAAAACATTTGGAGAGAAGGAAGAAGCATTTTTTTTTCTGAATTATAGTGTGCTGCACAAGTTCAAGTTGAAAGAGGATGTGAACATAAGTGGAGGAGAACTGACATTGGCGCCTGGGAAAGCATTTTACATACAAGTTTTAATTTTTCAATCCATATTGTGCATGCATCGCTATTTCCTACCAACCCATATTCATTTGGACCAATTAAGAGGTTAATTTGGCCGATTCGCACCACCACACATTTCATGCCTCACCCTCCTAAGTCCTTTTTTACTCTACCCTATATAAACCACCCCTTCTGCTGACACTAAATTAAATACACCACATCTAATTTGTAATTTTCCCTTGTTTGTTAAATCCTTGTTTGGTCGCATTCGTTGCTAAAACAAGAACATTGATCATGGGTGCCATGTTTGCCCAGAGACTCACTATCTTTGTTACATGGGCCTCAATGTTTGCAGTTTGCATGGCCAACATGGACTGGTTCTTTGGTTTCAACTACACTGATTGGAGGTTCAGATTTGGAAATCATCACGTAAACAAGACACAACAAGAACCCAAAAAGATCATCGTGGGTGGGTCTGAACATTGGCACTTCGGATATAACTACACCGATTGGGCTTTCAAGAATGGCCCATTTTACCTTAACGACACCCTAGGTGAGTTTGTCTTGACAAATGATATGTAATAATATATTAGTATAATATTATAATTAAATAAGAAAAGAATAATTAAGTTTTGTACCTATATTTAATCTATTTAGAAGTGTAAGGTTAAAAAGGAAATAAAATTATTGAAAATTATATAAGTCCCTTCTATTTATTGTTACCAAATAACTTTATTGGTTTGTTTATTAAAAATAAATAAATTATAAACTTTTAAATAAGGTATAAACTCATGTTGATAAACACAACCTTAGTTATTTAATTTGTCAAGGTTATGATTAAATTAAGGTGTAGATATACTGATTAAGGGTATCCATATGCATATAACTTTGTGGTTTAGTGTTCAAGTTTGATGCTCCAAATGCCACCAGTTTCCCACATAGCGTGTACATCTTTCCAAACTTGTGGAGCTTTTTGAATTGTGATGTAAAGAGGGCTAAGATGCTTGCGAATCCCACACAAGGTGGAGGAGAAGGCTTCCAATTCGAGTTAAACAGGTGGCAGCCTCACTACTTTGCATGCGGTGAGAGAAATGGCTTCCATTGCAACAATGGACAGATGAAATTTTCTGTTATGCCAATGCTTCGTCCCTTCTCACCATGGCCATGACAAAATTAATAATGCATGCAAGAACATGGAATAAATATGGTGCATTTGATACAATAATGTTATAGGAATATGGAGTGAATAAACATAGGAGCTTCCTGTTTATGTTTATGCGTTGTTAGCAAATGTAACTTCCGATACATTGAGAGGCTTGTCGAAATGTGCCCTTTTAAATTGATGGCATATTAATTACTTTATACGAAATAAGGTAATTTAATAAGGTCTGTTAAACTTCTTCTACTAAAGGCAAATATATCATAAAATAGGAGGAAACTAGTATCGATATATGAAACGAGAAATTATTACAAGTTCATAAATTAGCAATTACTGCAAACTTTAAAAGCACTTCTACCATTAATTTTAATTACGTCTAAATAAATTCCAGGCTGCCAAACTAGAATCAATACCAAAGATCATCCTATACAATATGCATTAATTGTAATTAAAAAAAATTTGTCGTGTACAAATATTGTAAACAAAATCTTGATTCTATACATTGATGTAAGCTCTCTCTTAATGGCATGCTAGAATTTCCGCTGACGTATAAACCAATTTTAGCAGCATTTGTTAATTGGTACACTGGAATTCAACTTCCTATTATATAGCAGTTGTTGCAGCATGAACTAGCTCGCTCCACATGTGCAGCAAATTTGGTTCAAACCACTCTCCATTCTCCAATGTGTATAAAATTAATGTGGACGCGTTACCATCTTTACTGAGGAAAATATAGGCCATAGGCACTTAGAGACGTTTTTGTCACAACTCGGATTGATAGTTTTAATTGTGGTTATGTTCCTTCCACGTTTAAGTAAATATCCTCAGGTTATTTTCAATCGAGATTCATGACCAACAATTTTCTTTCTGGAAAAATCTTAGAGATCAGTTTCTAAATAGGAACGGTACATTTGTAGCTTCTAAGCCGAATTTGGCCTTCTTTTTATGAAAATGGAGGAATTTATACCACAAGGGATCCCACTAGTACTACCTTGCTAGTAACAGAATTCTGGCTAAAAGAAAGAGAATTGATTAAACATGGAAGTATTTAAGAATAAAATTACAGAATTATTAAACTTTTCCACTGTTATTGCAAAAAATATAGTAGCTACAACCAAAAGTTTAGGTTAGCTACTTGGTCATTAATTGAACAGAAACTAAAAGTTTGCTGTTAAAATACTACTTTATTAAAAACTCTGATAAATTGGAATCTGCATTGGGTACTATTGCTAGTGGAAAGTGGAAACTGACAAGTTGGCCTTACACTCACTGCATTGTATAGATTTTCGGGAAAGTAGATCAGAGAGGACTCAAGTTTATTGCTGCAGGTTGGGAGCATGATTATGGGGGGTAAATGATATCAGGATGAAATTGTGAGAGTTTCTTTTACAACCTCACATGATTAAACAACAGCAATTTATGTCCACTGAAATGCTTAAGACCATTTGCTTAATTGGCTTTTATTTCAGTGACTTTTAAGACCTCGTTTGATGTTCTCTTCTTATTTGACATTAACGATGCCTTCTTATTTCGAAAATTTTCTCTTGTCATGTTAAAAATACTGGTCACCAATATCTGTTGTTTTCTTATAGGTGGTGTTTGAGTCTAATGAAGAAGACTATTGACTGAATTTTGGCAGCAGTCAAAAAGTATTGGAACACTATTGCACTTACACGTACACAAGAGTGATGCTGTTTTATGACCCGTCATTGAAAAAGCTGTAGCATAGGTTTTAATGTAAAATATACTTGCCTTTCTCAATGCAGATGTGGGGATTGGCATAATACTCATGCACTTGTATAATAATAGTTTTCATAAAGGATATGCTTTATTTTTGCAAAGTTGATTGATACGTTAAAAAGTGAGATTATGAGTTTATTCGTTGTTATTAGTCAATAATAGCTGTGTAATTTTTCATCTCTAAGATCCGAAATTAGCATTAGCAGGACTTAGATCATCATATTTAAGCATTAGATTAAAATTAGGTTTTTTTGTCCTTCTGGGATTAATTTAAAAAAAAATTATTAAATAGAGTTTCATGGAAACAAATTTTCGGTCTGGGGTTAGGGATCTACGTGGCAAGAGAATCATTCCGAACAGGGACAACACAGGTACTGACGTGTCGAAATGTGACAGTATCGTCCCATTAAGAGACGACACTCACGAAATGGCAACACATGTCATCTCAGGAACTAGTATCATCTTATTTGAGACGATTTTAGTAGCGTCCACAGCAGAGACTATTTTAATGCGACCAGTGGATAAAAATTTTGATACATTCTTTTATTATTCAAAATAAAAATTCTTAATAGCCATTAAAAATAAATTATATATTTGTAATACTTAAAATCTATGATTGTGATTTCTTGTCCAGTTCCACACTTGCTATCTCTTGCCGAGCCACTGTTATTCCTTCCCGAGCTCCATGGTCGTATTTATACACATTCTAATTTGGACAAAAGAATGTATCGAAATTTTTATTCACTGGTCGCATTAAAATCGTTTCTGATGTGGACGCTACTAAAATCATCCTAACTAAGATGACACTAGTTCCTGGGATGACATGTGTCACTATTTCGTGAGTGTCGTCTCCTAGTGGGACGACACTGTCACAGTTCGACACGTCAGCACCTGTGTCGTCCCTGTTCGGAATGATTCTCTTGTCAAATAATTTTTTTTAAAAATTAACCCCAAAAGGGTAAAAAAGCCTTAAAATTAAGCGTGTATTAATGATTTTTATGGTAATTATTTAGTAAAGCTCTGGTTAGTCAGAGTTCACTGTTGAATATACAATAGAGTAATAGAGAAACATAAGTATTGGTTGAGACCTTTTTCAGTTGCTCAACAGTGCTAGCTGCAGTTGCGCTCACATTATTGAATTGAGTCCACATTTTCATTTTCATTTTCGTTGAAATTGGACATGCTCTCTGCCAGTTTTTCTATATTGAAGCTCTTGTTGTAACACCTAAGCCACTAATGTACCTTAGCTGTCATCTATACTGGCCAAATTATCATATCTCTCAGGTTGTGCTCGATGCAAGTGATAATTGGAGATATGGAAATTGACACTGTACAGACACCAATGCCAGATATTCACTCACTTTGATGTATACTTTTCCACTACATTTTCAGTTTTTTACACATCAAACAGACATATAAGAAGACGCAATAGTCTGGACAAGCATCCAATGGTAATGGGTGTAGTCTGGCAATGAAATGAAGTCATAGCCTGTTTTCAAGCCATTAAAAGTGAGAACAATGGTTAAATGAAACAGAAATGTTTTTTTGTACTACTCGATATCCCCTTTATATGTCATAGTATTTTTTTTATATGTGTATACAGAAATGATTAAAAATAAGTGAAGAATAAAAACAACCATATAATGTATCACTTTTAGTATTAATTTTAAGTAATTCAGGAAACGAAACTAATAAAAAAAATAGTGAAGATGGAAGAATGGACATTTTTAATATTCCTCTCCTAAGAGGGCGGGGGATTTGACAAACTCATTCTCTCTGAATCCCTTTTATAGTTCCAAAATTTCTGCCATTAGACAAACTTCCATGTTTGTCCCACTAGATGATCCGAAAAGGCCAGTCCAAAAATTGTATTGTAGAGGAATAAAAACAATTTAAATAAATAAATTATTGTGGACCTCTAATTTTGAGATTTCTTGAGAGAACAGAAACAAACTTGAACAGCATGTATATTTTGAACAAGACTGCATAGTATCTTCTTTTTTTCCCTCACTAATTTATTATTAAAGTAATAAAACTATGCATCTTGAAAATGAAAGATATGGAATCTTTCGCCATTCTTCTACCCCTTTGGATTTTCCCTTTGGGATGATACTCCGAACACATCAGAGATTCGTATAAAATAAGAACATGCGTATAATCTGATCAACCTTCCTATCAACACAATCGTGCTTTCAAAGTATCAAATCCATGTAAACCTTTCGGTTGGTCAGCTATCAAATAGTATATATAAGATGGACCATTTGCGATTATTGAGCAAGTACACGTAAGAAGCATTTGGTGGTTATCTAATAGGCTTACTTCTGATGCATTTGAGCCTTCAAGTTCAATATACATTGACAAGAAGGGACCATATACCATTAGCATATTAGCTGCCAAAATATCCTCTGCCTCAAAAAGATTTCCTCCTCACATTTTAGCTTCAGATAAAGGTGTCGTTGACCGTTCGTGGTTGGGGAAATTTGGAATTTAAGATAACAACGAATTGGATTTGTTTTTTCCTTTTGGCCTGCCTAAATTCCTATTAAAAGCTAAAACTAAATTTTAGACACTCAAAATATGGTTGCTTAGCTCTTAGCTCATTATATCCCATTAATTAGAAGACTTAACTACCCACCAACATGAGTATCGGTTATGGAATCAACAAATAAAAATTATTATTAGAAATCATGTTAAGATGCATTTAAAATTATAACAAAAGTGTATTGATAACACTTTAATAAAAAAAATTATTTAACCTTAGTTAGCATTTTTCTTAAAATAAGGATATGATTGATTAAGTTTTGGAATTGATTAGAGCTATTGAAAAGAAAAAAATAACTACAACTCATTGTGCCTCAAAAATTGTACATCTTTTATTTGAAGTTTTAGAGTGTTTTTGTATCTGTTTGTTAAAACAAGTATAGACTTTTTGTAATATTTTCATGTATGATATTGTCTACTTTGAGTCTAAGCTATCATAATTTTATTTTTGGACATCATCTAAAAGACTTCATACTAACAAAAATCTACAAACTTATGCTCTTATCCTCCTAATTCTAGTCAACTTGGAACTTTGTTCATATATCTCTACTCTATTCTCAATCGAGGTTAAGGGAAAAGAGAAAATTGTGCTTGGAAAAGCTTGGTTGAAGTGTCTTGAAAATCCCATCATCTAAATATTAGCTTACATACAAACAGGCCCTTAACCGTTGTTATACATTTTAGAAAATCAAGTTCAGAGTATCAAACTAAAAAATAAACAAGCACTA